AGGCCTTCTGCTCTTTGCACACAGTGCGCCGCAGAGCTTTGCACCCAGAGCGTGCCTTGGACAGCCACAGTGACAGTGAAGAGGAGCTCGCGGCCTTCTGTCCTCAGGTATCTTGGATGTGGGAAGTACACCACCGGCTAGTTTTCTTTTAGCTCCCTTTAACCATATGACACCTCACATTTAGGCTGTAACTAGGCTTTCAAACTTATGGTGCTCCAGGGCCCCACCCTCCCCTTGCCCCACGAACAGTGAGGAAAGCAGCTCGTGTTATACTGGGACTGTGTGTATAGATCTCAGTTTGAGCCTGGTGACCAGCACACCCTCTTCCATGTCTCCTTTTAACCCCTGCCATCATGGCAGGACTTCTGGGACTAGTGTGATCGTCTTTTAAACAGCGCAGCTCACCTTTTGTTGGGCAGTGTATCTTCCCGGCCCCCAAGAAAAGTAATCTCTGCATCAGCTACTCGCTTTAGAGTAAGTGGCTGGTTGGCTTCCCCGACTGCTTTCCTTCCTGCTCGAGATCGGTAAGTAAGGGTATTTTCCTTGGGGGCGCAGCCTAGAAGGATCACGATGCTGACTGAAGTCCCCAGTCGTGTCTGATGGCAGTGCTGGCTGTAGGCTAGCCTTTAAGGCCAGCTAATTAGTAGAGCTATAACTGGGGAACTGCACCTGTTCCTAATGGCATCCGCTCTTCAGGCTTGTTGATCTTTTCTCTCCTAAGCTGGATGATTCTACTGTTGCCAGGGAATTGGCCATCACAGACTCTGAGCACTCAGATGCTGAGGTCTCTTGTACAGACAATGGCACGTTCAATCTTTCACGGGGCCAGACACCTCTAACAGAAGGCTCTGAAGGTGAGGGGGACCATGGATGTGAATTTGTAACGGCTCTGACTGTCGCTGTTCAGCTTCCCTGGGCAGAGGATACTGCCCCCTCCTCCCCTATTTTCAGAGGTGTGGAACAGGTGGCAGAGCAGCTTTGGTGGGGGTTGGGGGGTATGGCTGCAGCTGGGATTGTGCTGCTGCTCTCCTTAAAATCCTCAGTAGTCTCAGTTCTAGGCTCCTGTAGAGCATAAGGGAGGAAGGGGAGGGAATTCTTTGGCCAGCAGAGATCACAGCAGTATATAAGTGGAGGGGAAACGCCCACCAGTGCTCCAGGTTTTGCTTTACCCTGAGAAATTCCAGGTAAAAAAATCTGGTTGCATGGTGCTGACTTTGTGGGGCTAGGGCACAGGAGTGCCAGACTGTTGCCATGTCTCAGACACCCCTCTGTTCTCCCAGACCTAGATGGTCACAGTGATCCAGAAGAATCCTTTGCCAGAGACCTTCCAGACTTCCCTTCCATTAATGTGGATCCCGCTGGTCTGGATGATGAGGACGATACCAGCATTGGGATGCCTAGCTTGATGTACCGTTCCCCACCAGGGGCTGAGGAGCTCCAGAACCCGCCTGCCAGCCAGGAGGAGACTGTGCTGCCAGAGCTCCTGCTCAGTGCCCTGCCTGCAGGGTCCCACCTCACCAGCAACCTCGCCAGCCTGGTCTCCCAGGGCATGATCCATCTGGCCCTGTCAGGGGCCTCCCAGCCAGGCCCTTCTGGCCTGCCTCCCCGGAGAACAAGAGGCTTCCTCCGGGCCCCCAGTTCAGACCTGGACACTGATGCTGAGGGGGATGACTTTGAACTTCTGGACCAGTCGGAGCTGAATCAGCTGGACCCTGCCAGTTCCAGGAGCCACTGAAGCAGAGACTCCTTTTAGGGGTCACTGTGCTTTAGGTTTTTTTTTCTCCCTATCCCACTTAAGGTGAAGGGGCAAGGGAAGAACCCAGGTCCCATCCGCTGAATTACATATGAGTGCTTGGCGGCCTGGCTGAAACTCAGGCCTGCTGAGAGGATGGATGCTCACGCCCCTGCTACCCGCTGGACGCCCGGTTCTGAGCTCAGTCGCTGCAGCGAGAGTGCTCCCCTGAGGGAGGCTTCTCCATCAGAATGGTACTTTGGGGGAACAAAATAATCAGGGGTATTGGTTCCCCTTTGAGGGGGTGCTGCTGTTCGCTTCTAGGTATGGGTGCTCGGGGGCCCTCCGTGACAGAAGCACCCTTCCCTTCCTCCCTCCCTCCATCACCTCCTTGGAGCTCCAAGTCAGCAGCAGCTGCCATCCTCCTCTTTTGCGAAGCCATGATTTGATTTGTCTTTTTCTAAGCAAGTTTTTTGGTTGGGCAGAGCAGGCCTGCTCCTTCTGCCCCAGCCCATCCTCATTTCTTGAGGCCTAACCTCCAGTGCTCCAAAGTAGTGCTTGTGAAATTTAAGAACTGTGAACATGTTGTGGGGGCGGGCTTCTTCGACATTACCTTGGGCTGTGGGGTCAGCTGGCTGAGAGGGCGAGTGCCTCTGTGTCTCCTGGTCTCATGGAATCTTCTGAAGCTGCCTGGTTACTTCTGGTGCTGCTACCCCTGGCTCCATTTGACCATCAGCCTGAGCAACGAGCAAAGCAATACCACACCATATCCGTGTCCGTGTTCCTGTTGCCTCCCCGGCTCCTCCACTGGAGCAGCAATGGTTGCACGGCGTGTCAGGGAGCACTTTACCAGTGGCCCGCCGGCATTCGCGCAGGGCCCAGCTCTTCCTGCACCAGCTCTTCCTACTCCCTGTTCAGTTCCTTTAATACTTTCATTTTTAACTGCTTCCCAACTTGGTGGGGCCTCCTTTAAGGAGAACCCAGTTAGCAAGAATGTGTCTGTAGTCAGTAGAGACTTCTCTGAGGGGTATCTGTTCTACTGCCCCTAGAAAAATCATGTGAGACAAAAACTAAAAATGATCATTCTAGACCTGTGCCAGCCTACAGCCTCTCTTTGGCTCCCCAGTCAGAGCTCAGGCCAAACTGTTCTGTCCTCTTGCCCTCTGCATTAACCCTTTGCTGATCCTCAGGGACCACTCCCCCAACACCCCCATACCTGGGCAAGGGATGTTGGACAGAGCCCATTTTCGTGTGCTGCAGGTGGGAGTGTGCTAACATGTTTGCTCTTGGTTGATGGAAAAGGTAGAGGCCAGGAGTGAAAACTAAGGGAGAAGAGCTAGGTGCCTGTTTCATAGTCACTTGTGTGTGTGAAGTTTAGGGGTAAATGGCATCTCCCTGCTTTATGGTTCTCAGACTTTGGACAGAACCCAGATGTCTCACAGGTGAGCTCTGATGTGGGAAAAAACGGGAAGTGTGGAAGAGGAGTGGGTTTGGGTGTGTTTGCAGGAGTGTGGGTAGCTTCAGGCCTTGGAAGTTGGCAAGAGGGAGGGAGGAAGGAGAGCAAAATCTTCAGAAGGTGTTTCTTGTACCCCGGGGGATCCGGCTCTGAATCTCCTTCGTCCTCCACTGTGAACTGGGGTGGGGATGGGCGGCGGGGGGCTGGGGGGAGTGGTGCTGGGGAATAAATCTTGTATGAGAACAATCTTTAAGAGACTGGTATTGAATGGTGTCTTGCCCTTGGTAAGGACAGCTGGTTAATCTGAGATGGGATTAATCTGAGGTGACAGCCTCAGAAGAGTAAGCCCGGGTGTGAGGGACCCACCTGCCTGTCCCTATTTGTGACCTTTGTGATGGTCAGGACAATCACCACATACGAGGCCACTTCCCCTCCCTAGGAGAGCCCAGGCAGCACAACTGGCACTCTTGACTAGCATCTAGCCTGCACTCCCATCATTTTTGTTTTTTTAAAGATTGTGTTTATGTATTTGTCAGAGAGGGGGAGAGAGCGCACAAGCAGGGAGTGGCAAACAAGAGGGAGAGAAGCAGGCTCCCTGCTGAACAAGGAGCTGGACCTGAGGACCTGAGCTGAAGGCAGAAACCCAGCCAACCGAGCCACCTAGGCATCCCCATTTTTAATTCTTAGTATTGTTCCCTAGCCGTGTGAAGACAAGTAGGTGCTTCAAAGGCTAATGAGACTTTAGGTAACAGGTTTTACTTTTTTTTTTTTTAATTTTTTAAGATTTTATTTATTTGACAGATCACAAGTAGGCAGAGAGGCAGGCAGAGAGAGGAGGAAGCAGGCTCCCTGCAGAGCAGAGAGCCCGATGTGGGGCTAGAACCCAGGACCCTGGGATCATGACCTGAGCCGAAGGCAGAGGCTTTTAACCCACTGAGCCACCCAGGCGCCCCCATTTTTTAAGATTTTATTTATTTAGGTAACACGTTTTAAAAAGTAGCACCATGCTCCTCCTCTGGAGTGAGCTACAGGGACAGCTGCTCTTTGGCCTTCGGCTGACCTCAGAAACTAGAAAACACTTATTTCAGGCTTTGTCCCACTGGCCACTGTGGGCAGGAGTGGAAAACACCTGCCAGGTGTTGCCATAAGATCCACTCCGCCAACAGGAAACTTTTCTACAAGCTTTGCGGCTTAACAGTATAGCCCCCTCCCAACCCTGCCTTCCCTCGGCGTCCAAACCTCAGCGCGTGTGGAGCGCCCCCTGTGCGCGAGGCTCGGGAACCGGCAAATGTGGGCAGCGCTGTGCTCCCAGGGCTCTGAGGCACTCTGTCCTCCCAACCAACCTCCTGCTAGTACCTCTTGTTCCTGTTTTACAAATGAGACTGGCGGTCGAAAAGAACACCGGGCCGTGGGACAGGACACGTCCCTATGGGTAACTGACCCTGTGACCTTGAGCAGGTCGCTAGCCCGGCGGGAGCTGAGCCTAAGTTCTCTCCCCCTTGGAACATCGTCCCAGCTCACGGTCACGAGAGCTCAGCCGCCCCTGGAAGTGGGTTTCCAGACCCCAAGCAGTGGTTGGCCCGACCTGCGCCCAGAGCCGGAGGGCGCGGGGAGGAGCGGCCCGGAGCCAGCGGACCGGAACCGCCGCTGCGACCCTGGGGGCCGACGCCCGACACGGGTCGGACTGAACTACGGCGCCCGGGAAGGTCGTTCCATGCCTCGCGAAGACGTCCGCTTCCGCCAATCACCGCTTGCGGCCCGCCCCGGAAGCAGCCGTTGCCTCGAGCAACAACAACGTCCGGCTTTCCGAGTTGGAGGCGGGAAAGGCCATGAGTAAAGGCCGGGCGGAGGCCGCGGCGGGAGGTAAGCGGGGAGGTGGGCGCGGGGGAGACCCGGGCGGGGGGGACGGGAGAGGCGTTGGTTGGGTGACCCCCACCCCTGTCGCGTGTCTTCGTAGCCCCTGGGATCCTCCTGAGGTACCTGCAGGAGCAGAACAGACCCTACAGCGCCCAGGACGTGTTCGGGAACCTGCAGCGGGAACACGGACTGGGCAAGACGGTGAGGACCCTCTCCTGGGACTCCTCCCCTTGGGGCCCCTCGAATCAGTCCGGGGTGCTGCCCTCTCGGGGCTGCCATTCCAGCCGCGGGCTTCCTAAGGCTTGTCCGGCTGAAATTCCCGCTGCGTGGGCCCCGAAGTCATTGCTCTGACTGCCCGCCGCCCTCCCCCGCCAGGCGGTGGTGAAGGCGCTGGAGCAGCTGGCCCAGCAAGGCAAAATCAAAGAGAAGATGTACGGCAAGCAGAAGATCTATTTTGCGGACCAGGTGAGGGAACCTGTGCAGATTATCGCCCGTGTGACACCCCGACACTAGGTCAGCCGGTCTCTAGAATGAACTCTCTTCTGGGGAATTTGGGGCACCCCATGAAACTCACTTGTCCTAGGTCATGAAAAGGGCCCCAGGCACCCTTTAAATCAGAGTGGGTACTCCCCTTGCTGTGACCCAGACTTAGTGAGACTTCCAGATTTGGGACGGGATAGATGACAGAAGATCCTGAATTGCTGCTGCGGAGATCCGTTCCCTCTTGGAAGTTTCTTTTTCCCAGTCATCTAGATTAGCGCCACCATCTGCCACACGGTTCGCCTTCTGCCCCCACCCCTCACTCCCAACACAGGTAACGCTGATTTTGTATCTCTGGGCCAGCCCACCACTTGGATGCCTTCTAGACCTTTCTGAGTCAGTATTACTACTGCTAAGGTAGATTGCCTCATCCCTCCAAATGGGCACCTCTCCCTGCTTCTCCCTCAGTGGACTCATGCTTCACCCAAACTAGAGACTGGGGAGCCCCTCATCTCTCTCCCCCAGTGCCCCGTTGGTTTTCCCCCTTCCTGACTTGGCCTGTCCTTTCCATCTGCATCTCCTGATACCCTCCTAGCATCTGCTGGCCTCAGATGTCTTCGGCACGGCAGCCAGAGTGGTCTGCGTGGGTGCACAGCGAGTGCCATTGCCCGACTTCAAACTCATGCTCCCTAGAGTAGGGAAAAGGTACTAGGGAGACCCGACCCCCGTGCCTCACTGTCCCTTCTCGGTCCACTCACCAGGACTAGAACATGTAGATGAGTTTTACTCCTGTGTCCTTCTTCTGCCTGGAGTTTTAAAAACCCTTCTTCCTCTTCTGCCTCTTTGCTCAGCTAACCCTTACTCATCCTGTAGGATTCCCCTCAGGGATCACCTCCAGAGACCTTCCCTGAATTCTCTGATCGCCTCTTCTGCAGGCGCTCGCTTCTTTGAGGGACGCGCTTGTCTTACGTGTCTCCTCTCTGGACCGCAGTCTTCCAAGGCAGGCCCCACTTCTCACCCGTATTCCTTTGCTCAGCACCCCCACCCCAGAAGCTAACATCTAGTAGACGCCGAATACTAGTTTCACTGAACCGAACCACCACCAAGGCTAATTTTCCTAAAATCGGTTTCATTATGTGACAACTCTAGATTCCTTAAGGGAGAGTTTTGCAGATTTTCTTCTGTAAAGAGCCAGACCCTTAATATTTTAGGGTTTTGTGGGCCAGATGGTCTCTTGTCCCAGGTACACAGCTGTCACAAGCCCTCGAGACTGCCACTGGAGAGCAAAAGCCGCCCGAGACTGTGTGAAGGCACAGGCACGGCTGTTTCAGTCAGTGTGTGTTTCCAGAACTCCGGGTCTGGCAGGATCTGGCGCGCAGGCTGGCGTTCCTCTTTTCCCTAATGTGCTCCCCACTGTCGCCGACCAAACCCCCACGGGGCCCATCCCCGAGGAGCACCATCCTCGGTAGCAGCTGGTCCCTCGGGGTGGGCTGCTCAGGCTTGTCCCTTCAGTACTGTCCCCGCCTCTGTCCCCATCCCTGTTCTTCCTGTTGTGGGAACGTGTAATTCAGGTATCGCTACCTTGGGGAGAATGTTCCTCTACTCCTTTAGCCCAGTGAGCGGTCTTAGCACTAAGTGAGATCTCCGCCGCGTTAGTATCCTGCCAGCCTTGACGCCCCTTGAGGACAGGCGCGAGGTTTCACTTATCCATCATACCTTGTTATAAGCTGGGACCAGTACTAAACTGAGCGGTTTCTCACAGGCCCTCTGGAGGGCTGGGGAGCCCCACAGTCTTGCATGTATGTGATGCTGCCCCCACCCCAGATGAGGTTCCCCTCCCGTGCCTCACATCAGCCCCCTTGTTTTTCCTCACCTCTGGCAGGACCAGTTTGCCATGGTGAGTGACGCTGACCTCCAAGGCCTGGATGCCAAAATCGTGGCCCTCACTGCTAAGGTGCAGAGCTTACAGCAGAGCTGCCGCCACATGGAGGCTGGTAGGACTGGGCAGCCCCCAAGGGTGCCCCTAGGGTCAGGGTCGGTCTAGAGGTCAGGGATTATGGAGTGAACGGTTTGCTGGCTGCAGCGTTGTCCCACGGCAGTGACTCTCTCTGCTGGGCTGCCACAGGCATCGTATCAAAAGAGAGAACGGCTAATGGCCTTTGAATGTGAGTGGGCAGGACATGCGTTTGCTTTCCCTAACACCCTCAGTGCCCTGGGCCCACACTCCCTCGGTGCCGGCTGCTCTGACTGGCTACAAGACCAGTCTGTGCAACCTCACTTTACCACTGCTGGTAGATGGAGGAGGAGAGAAAACAGGAATAAACCGGTAATTCTGTAAGCCTTCATCTCTACTGAGCATTTCCAGAATGTGGAACTCATTCTGGACCCTGTGTGTAGAACCGAGAGCAAGGTAGGGGTCCAGTCACTACCTCAGGGAGCACCCGCCGGGAAAGACCAAGCCCCAGCCTCGGGGTAGGGAGTGACCCCGGAGAGCTGTGGTTTCAGAGCTGAAGGAGTTAACTAGTGCCCTGACCACACCGGAGATGCAGAAAGAGATCCAGGAGTTGAAGAAGGAGTGTGCTGGCTACAGAGAGAGACTGAAGAATATTAAAGCAGCCACCAACCACGTGACTCCAGAAGAGAAAGAACAGGTGAGCTGGGAGCGCGGGCAGTTGTGGGCCCGGCGAGGAGGCGCAGCCTCGCAGCCTCCGTGGGGCTGAGGGGTTAGAGGCAGCTGTTTCCCTGCCCAGGTGTACAGAGAGAGGCAGAAGTACTGCAAGGAGTGGAGGAAGCGGAAGAGGATGGTGAGTGAGCGTGCTCCGGGCAGGCCCTAGAAACGGCAGGGGAACCCGGGACCCGACAGCGCGGCCCCTCCAGGCGGTGCTGCCCACCTGAAAAGGGGTGGTTTTGTTTCCTGTCAGGCAACAGAGCTGTCTGATGCAATTCTGGAAGGATACCCCAAGAGCAAGAAGCAGTTCTTTGTAAGTGGTTCTCTCTCCTGTCCCCGCTCCCCTGGGTGCTGGGTCCAAGGAGCGCTCACTCACTTGTCTCCCTGCCCCAGGAGGAAGTCGGGATAGAGACAGATGAGGATCACAACGTGAAGCTCCCAGACCCTTGAGGGGTCCCCCGGCAGGACCCGGGGGGGATGGAAAGAGAGGTCCGGCACTGGTTGGCTCCTCCAGGTTGGCTTCTGTGTTTGTTCCTGCTGCTGTCTTTGGGCAGAGCAGCTGGGAGAGGGGCAGGAGCCAGAGTATGGGGCGTGGGGAGTGAGCAAGCCCACAGCCCACGGTCAGGCTCAGGTTCGTTTTCCTGGCTACATTCCAGTTGCTTGAACTGAACGCTCCAACTGGAAACAATGCTAAAGGAAAGCATTTGGTAGTATTTATTGTAATATAATTTGATATAAAAATACTTAAATTTCCTCTGGATAACCAAACCTCCCCGATGTCAACCCTGCAGAAGGCTACAGAGTAGAGACAGGAAACTGTATATAGCATTCAAGGAGCCCAAGGCCTTACCCAGGACTTCTTGGAGCTCTTTACCCCAGGAGGCCTTTAAATACCTTCTCTACCCCTTCACCCTGACCCCAAGTCCTGGGAGAGATGCAGGCAGCACGGGGACAGAGACCCAGATACACTTGACAGGAAGGGTGGGAGTGGTTCTGAGGCCCAGTTTGTTTTCCAAAATTGTAAGTTTAGCAAAATTGCACTGTTGGTGTTTATTTAGAAAATTAAAAAAAAAAAAAAAAACTACGTAGTGCTGTGTGTCACACTTGACTTCTCTGTGCTGTGCTCCTGCCTATGGGCACAGAGGGAGCAGGAGCACACAGGAAGGCCGCTTCCCTCTAGCACCCAGAGCAGGATAAGAGAGGCGATGGAGTAGCAGGTGAGGACAGGATCCTGGCAGCCCTGCCCAGAGCTGGCCAGCAGAGCCTGAGTCCCACCTTGGGCCCACCAGGGAGCCCTAGCCCAGGTACTAGGCAGCCTGTCACACTTCATGGCTGTGAGAGTATTTCCTCATGTTCCTTTCTTTCTGTCCAGCTACTGCCAAAATGGCCAAACTTGGGCCAGGTGTTGCCCAAATCTGGCCCAAGAGACCAAACCAAATGCAAACAGTAGCTCCCAGATATGTGTAGATCTGGAGCAAAAGTCTGAGGCTTAGAAGGGGAGAGGACGGGAGCTCTTGGGGATATCCAGAGCAGACCCCCACCCTGAGGATTTTTACGGGAAGGGGGGAAAGACCAGAGGCTCGAGTTTTGTGGTCAACATAATAAATTAAAGCTTTCACAAAACAAACACCCCAGCCCCACTGAGGATGAGGGGTATCGGGGAACCAAATGCCGGGAGCCAGCAGACCTGTGTGGAGCATCGAGTCTGATCTCAGAAGGCCAGCGGCTCTGTGGCCAAGCAGGAGACTCGGGCCTCTCGCTGGCTCTTCTGTGAGTTCGGGGCGCCGGTCAGTACAGCTGGTTCTTCAGCTGGTGCAGGACACCAATCACGATCTCCCGGAGGGTCTGGTGGGGGCAGCAGAGGGAGACATGGGTGGTGCTCAGGCAAGGACAGAGCACCGGCTGGGTGACCCGTGCCTACACAAGACGCGCTCTTTAGAATGCAACAGAAAAAGCCCCTGGGCCGCACTGCTATCTGCAGTTTACTCTGAAGTGTCCCTGCGAGAGCACAGGGAAAGGGATGGAAGCATGGCTGGCTATGTGGAAAAGCAAATGCAAGAAATGGAAACGGTAGCATTTAGGTGTGGGCTTGGGAGCGTTCGGGACATACTATGCTTCAAGTGTTCCCAGAAAATGTCAGGAAACAAAAAAGTGGGACTCTCCGGATGCAAGTCCAGCCTCAGAAAAGGCAACCAGGCCTCAGGAGCACAAGAGTCCGGCAACAGCATTCACACGCTGCCCCGTTACAAAGAACACAAGCCCCGGGGCAGACTACTCCTGCGGGCCTGGGGGTGGCGGCCAGCAATCTTCCAGATGGGCCGAGTGAATCTGCTGCCTCAGTGAGGGCAACACACTAGGCAGCCACACGTGGGCTGAGAAGGGCCAGGGTTAGGCCCATGGGATTTAAGTGCCCAATCAGTCCTGCCAAATGAAACCTTATAGGAAAATCTGGGCTAAGAAGCAGAGGAGGGAGACACCCCCCAAGAAACCTGAAAGCTGCTGCTGCCTCCTCCTCTGGACAATTTCGGACTTGGGCCACTTTGCCAGGAGGAGTGTTCTCCCCCACCACCCCACGATCACGGCTACCCCGTACCTGAGGCTTACAGTGCTCCTCAATCCAGCTGAAGACACAGGCTGACAGCTCCTGGAAGCTGGCCACGGAGATGGAGGCATTGAACGACTGGAACAGGGAGTCCATGATGCCTTGAAACACATTGAACTTGACCTGGTCAGAGACCTGGTCTTCCCCCTCATGGGGGTTGTCCTGGTGTGCCTTCACAATCTGCTCGTAGTTCCTGAAATCGAGGAGTGAACAGGGCTCAGGTGCCCGAGGTTCTCCCCCAGGAAGTGGCTCCTGGAGAGCTGCTGCAAGGTAGTCCACATCAGCCAGACACTGCTCCGGGACAGAAATGGTGACCCCCCCCTCTCCCCACCCTTCCCTTCACGAAGCCCACAGGCACTTCGAGAACGTGCTGTGCGTTAGGGACACGGGGGTACAGAGTCCAGCCTCCAAGCGGCCACCTAAGGGAGTGAGAGGATTATCTGGCCTGTAGTATCTGATGTGGCCTTTAAATGAGAAGAAGGTATGAACTGAGGTCTGCCCGAGTCCCCTCAGAAGCCCTGGTTCACCCAGCTCAGTGTCGCCCTTACACTTTCATGATCTTCAGGGCTGTGACATCCTTGCGTAGCATGGACACTTCCTCCTCCTGCTTTTTCTTCTCCTTGTGCAAAAACTGGATGTAGTCAATGGCTGGGATGGGTGGGGGTGGGCACAGAGGAAGTCTCAACCAGAAGGACAAGGCTGACTTTGTCTCCCCCCGCCCCGTCCCACTCCCCACCTGCCCCATAACCACCGCCCCACCAGGGCCAGGCCGAGAGTGGGTAGAAGGCTCTGGCCTCTTCACTGCCCTGCTGGTCCCAACCACTCCCAGGGTTCTCCCTGGTCATACTCTTCTGTAGAACGATGGCTTTGCTGAGCTTTTGGGAACCAATGGAGAAGTCCTGCTGCTGGCAAGTGGGGACGATTGTCTGAAGGTCATCATAGCCTCTCTGTGGAGACATCAGGGGAAACAAGGCTTCCTTTAACTCTGCGGATTAAGGCAAACTCACACCAAGCTTTCTCTTCAAGAACTGAGTTCCATGCTCGAAACTCAAACAGGTGGGGGTGGTGGAAGGAGGGTGTTCTCATCCAGAGATGAGATTAGCTGCCCACAAGGATGTCTGGTGCTGTCTGATGAGGTCGGGGCAGAGCGAATCAAATGTAATGGGCCTTCCTGCGCTGGCTGAGCTGCGGGCCCCCCAGTCACCTTGATGGCGTCTCTCCTCTTCTGCTCGGCCTGCGTGTGTGCTCGCCGCCGCCGGTCCTTGTAGGACTCCTTGTAGGATTCCTGGTGGTAATCGCTGTCCTCGTCATCTACGCTCAAAGTTGGGGGCGGGAAGAGGTCATTTTGAGGCCCAGTGAGGCCCAGCTCACCCACCGTGCCCCAGTGGGAAAGAAAAAACCGGTGCCTAGAGACAGCAATGGACAGAACAACCTAAGGTCCTAGATGAGGTGAGAGACAGTGAGAGCCTGTGTCTATCACTAGTTCTCCAGCAAGCCCATGTGGGTGACTGGAGCTTCCTGTCTGGGAAATACACTAAAATGATGGTGTAACTGAGTCCCCCCAGGTCGGGGCATGTTGCTGCCTACCTGTATTGGGGACGGAAGAGGCACTGGTGGAACCGATGCTATTAGCTCTGGACACTACACTCCCCTTTCGGGTACTTTCTACAAAAAGCCCTGGAAAAGAGAGGTCCCAATCACTAAGGGGTAAGGCAGGGGAACACTATATTAGACCCTGAGAAACCTGTGGGTACAGTGGCTTCCTGATCCCTTAAATCTGACCTCTCCCTTTCAACCCAAAAGCCACTCATACTGGGGCACCCATTTCCTGTTTGTGCCATGCCGCAATGCTCCTGTCCCTGATTTCCACACTGCTCCATGGGCCTGTAATGGTACCACTGGATCACAAAATGGCATCTGGGCACAATGAGGGTGAGAGAGCGGCCAGCTATCACTGCTGTCACTTCCCTGCTTGAGAGCAGAGGAAACCAGCTGTACCCTTATGCTTCCTGCCCCGGTCCTGCAGCTCCTCCCTGTCTCAGGGCAGGAACTCGGCTCAGGGACAGTGGACTGTGCTCAGGTGTGGCTGGCAAGACCACGGGAATCTATAGGGCTGCAGCGGGAGGGTCATGAGGGAGCTGGGGACAGTGGGGAGGCACTCACCGGGGTCCAGACTGTTGTCGCTGTAGGCGTATTCCACCTGCAGCACCAAGCAAAGGAAACTCATCAGACCTCGGCCCAGGGTCCGCACCTCCTTTCACTGCGCGCGCGCGCGCACACACACACACACACACGTCCTACTCACACCCACCCCCCCAAGGTACGCAGGCAATTTCAGGATGCACGCGTGCGCGCACACACACACACTCTCTCTTCCCCCTGGGGTGCGCAGGCGACTGCAGGACTGCCCCGGGAGCCAATAGCGGATAGGCCATGGGAGCGCCTCCCCTCCGCAGGACCCCGTCTGCCCCTACCCACGCTCTAGCACCTCCCCAGCCCCCCAACCCCGCCCCCCCCCACACACTTGTGTACACACGCGTCACTTGTCTCCCCACCTTGGCACGCGCGGGGTGAGAGCTGTCTTCTCTGCAGCCCCGGGGCCCGGAGGGCGGGGGGACCTTTAGGGACTGCAAGGAATCCCCTCGTCTTCCGGCCCCCCCACGTGCACGAGCCCGACCCGCCCTCCCCTCGCCGGCGTGCGCGCCCGCGGGGCTTGCCTTGACCCAGGGGTCGTCCGGAGAGGCGCCCGGCTCTGTCATCTCCGACCCACCAAACCGGAAACCAGCCCGCGGGCGGGCCCCCTGCCGCGAAGAAGAGGCGAGGCGCATCCACGTGACCCAAACCCACCAACCCAAGAACGGGAGGCGGAGGGCGGGGCGAGCGCATGCGCAGCCCAGAAACACCGAAACCGTGGACCAGAGCCGCTGGCGTCGGAGCGGAAACCGGTAGCGTTCCTGTTGCCGCGACGTGAATCGTTTTGTAAAATGGGGTCCCCTCAAAAGGCTCGTCCAGTGTCGCCGACAGTTGTGTGCACGCGCTGTGCGAGCCCAGGCGGCTCTCGGGGCGCGTATCCCAGCCCCGCCCTGCAGGCGGCCTGGAAGGTGCAGACTTGGCCACCTGGGCTGACCCTGCCTGGCTGCCAGGTCCAGTCCCGTGAGGGCAGACACCCCGCCGGGTTCTTAACGTCCCGTTTTCAAAAACCAGCCAGGCATCTGGCAGGAGACCAGTGGAAGAAACACTGTCAGAGAATCTGTTAGCCAAGTTATGCTACTTTACAGACAGGGAAACCGAGGAACCTCGAAAGTCTGTAGCTTCTTGCAAAGCAGAAAGCTATCAGTGATAGAACCAAGGCTGACCTCTGCCTGGCTAGCTTCAAAAGCCAAGCTCTTAACCACTGCACTCCCAGGTTCCAGCTCAAGGCTCCCCAAAATACCCAGAGGCATCGGGGCAGGAAGCAGACACCATACAGGCAGCATC